GATAACAAGACATATTATGGTAGCCATTTTGGATTTACTAGTGGCTTGTTTTGAAGTTCTTTATTGCATTCATTGTTTTGGCATTATTGTTTCTATTCTATTCTGTTTCTGTTCAGCTTTTTACTCTGTTCAAAAGTATCTGCAGCTATTTTGAAGACAACAAAAGGCATTATGGTGACTATTGTTGGTATTGTAAGGTTTTGAAATCCTGTATCACTTATACTGATTTATTTTTTATTGGTTTTATTCTGCTTTATTTTCCTTAGTTTTATCCTCTTTAAAATAAAATTTTAAAAAATAAAATAATGTGTCTTAAAGTTTGTTTCATGGGGCTGGGGATTTAGCTCAGCAGCATAAGCGCCTGCCTTGTAAGCAGGCAGTCATGAGTTCGATCCCCGGTACCCCCTAAAAAGGAAAAAGACAAAAAAAAAAAAGTTTGTTTCATGAAGAGTGCTCATGTTTTGTACAGGCAATTTTATGAATATGCTGTAATTTTTTATTGAATCTTTACATGGTTCAGTAAATAACACTTTACATGTGATATTTTGCATGCGTTCAAATTTATCATAGAATAAACGTACGAAAGCACAACTACTGGGGAAAGGCCACATGAATTTTATATTTTGCTAAATCCCAACAAACATTTTCTTAGGAGTTTATCAATACTCCCAAGAACAGTGCTCGTGAATGCCTTTTTCTCCACAAAACTCAAAAACATTATATTATTGATTTTTGGAATACCTATTCAAAATACTATCAATATAGTTTTAACTTACATTTTTCTTCTTATGAGTGAGGTTAAAACACATTTTCAAATATTTAAGAGGTATCTTATTTTCTTTATTTCCTTTTGGTATATTTTTGTACTTTTTTTTTTCCTTTTTGGTATGGGGGATGGAACTCACGAACTCGCGCTTGCCAGGCAGGCACTTACACTGCTGAGCTAAATTCCTGGCCTGTTTTGTACATTTTTGAAAGATTAACAAACAGGGGGCTGGGGATAAGCGCCTGCCTTGCAAGCAGGCAGTCGTGAGTTTGATCCCTGGTACCGATAAAAACGAAAAAGACACCCCCCCCCCAAAAAAAAGATTTAACAAACAATAAAATTTTATTGTCATTTTCTAATTAAAAAATTGTCAAAACTTTAAAATAATTAACAGTAATCAAATCATTTTAGAATCAGATTTAGAAAATAAGATCAGGTTTAGAAACATCTTTGTATAATCTAAGATATGAATTATAAATATTTTTGTTTTACTTTTTATCCTGCTTATGGTGTTTTGTCATGCAGATATTTTTGATAGTGTTAGATTTCTTTTTTATTCTTTTTTTAAAATCCAAGTAACAATTTTATTTTACTCTACAGTACAATATTTTGCATGCATTTTAGTGTTTTTGATGGTGTTACTTTCAAGCAGATTTTCAATGAATCCACAAACCCTTGACTAGTAAAAGTAAAGCATGCACAGTAAAACAACAGGTATCCAGATGTTCAGAATCATGTATGTAGGGGTGGTCTTGTGTCATCACTACATACCCTGCCTTTTTAAGAATTCACCAGCAAGTGTCAATTGTTCTGCTCTTCTTCTCCTGTAACTCATCAAAGAAAGTTCTAAGTATATACACAGAATGAGTTTTCTTTAAAGCTAAGTTAATATAAAATTTCAATTAATAAGCTTACTGTCAACTGACAATTTCAATTAGTAAGCCCATTACTAGAAAGACAGGCAATTATGGGTACCTGATCTAAAGGCAAGGTTATTTCATTTCTCAAAATATGAACAAGAGAGATTAATCAATGAAAGTCCATATGGTAAGCTTAATATAAGAAACAAAACTACTTATATATAACATATACATTACATATATATCACTCTTCTGAGTCAGTATATAACTGAGTTTCTCATAGACATGAACTTCTACTTGTCAAAGAATACTTTAAAGACTTTTTCTATGAAAAAATACCCCAAACCCCCAATATACTAAGAGATGCAGAAGAAAAGCAGATATGTGAAGTTATGCATCTAGTTCCACAATTTAAAATGCTTATCAGGCAGGGGCTATAGCTCATAACACCTGCCTGCCAAGCTCAAGGTCCTAAGTTTGATTACTGGTACAAAAAACAAACAAACAAACAAAAAAACCCCCAGCATATCAAACAGGTACCGTAAAGCCAAGTGACAATGACTTTACCACATGGCACCAAACTTTCACTGAGATTCACAATGCTAGTTTTTTATTTACTTATCTATTTTTTATTTTAAAGGGATAGAACAACAAAACAAAACAAAACAAAACAGTGAAAACCCAACACTGAATTTCAAAAATAAAACAGTAGAGAATTCACCATAGTTACTATATTGCATATTGTTACCCTCTAAATAGTTGGTCAGACTACAAGCATTAGGCTTGCAAAGTCTATCAAATAATACAAGCATTAGGTTGTTATCTTCTCAGCCTGTATTCCGCTGAATCAGCCAGTTGCTTATGGCAGGGGATGGGGGCTGGCTCTGGGTAGGACGGGGGTGTGGAGGTGGTGGCTTGCTTCCTGGTTCTCCCCTGGCTGGTGCGGTCTCTGCTGGCTCACCCTGAGCGGGAGGAGTTGTGTGTATGACTTACTCTTTGCTTCTCCCATAGCCAGCATGGCCTCCACTCTGGTAATGCTCTTGAGGTGTTTTCAGCAGATGGCCAATACAAGAAGACTGTTAGAATACAGACAGAATACTCATTAATTATTGAAAGAAACCCTGAAGCAAATGTGGCAAAGGTATGAGGGAAAGGTGGATCTTTTGAAAAAGTTAATGATACTTTTCCATCACTGGTAAACCAAACTAGCTCCAGTGTACAGCTCAAAGCAGCACTACATTCAGAGCTCCAGGCAGCAGAAAAGTTTGGAAAACTCAGTTTTCAAAAATTGGCAATTTCTCCACATTTCATAAAACTATTAGAAGAGATAGGTTTGTTTGTGGAATGTTGACCACTTGTTGCAAAAATTCACAATATGAATGAGGAACTGCAGAGATGCATGTCCGTGACATTTTTTTTTGTCTTTTTCCTTTTTATCGGTACCAGGGATCAAACTCACGACTGCCTGCTTGCAAGGCAGGCGCTTATGCCGCTGAGCTAAATCCCCAGCCCCCCATGACATATTTTTAAAAAATTGACAGAAACCTTAAGTTTCTATTTAAAACATTCACGTTACACCGAGATAAAACATGGTAAAAAGTAGTATGAATTCTGTCCATTATTATTTACAGAGTAATGGGAAAGTGATAAACTCATTTTTTTCTTAAAAACAAAGTTTTCTCATTGCATTGACTTTTACAGCCTGACCCAGTAATTTAGAAAAATCATGTAGTAAAATCTGTAAAGTTAAAATGCAAAATTTGGGCTTGTAAACATTATTTGGCCTATCCTATTCATGACCTTTGTGGCTAGAATGGAATGAATAATTCTCTACCTTGTTTTCTCTGAGGGGGCAAATTTCAGAACACACTGTTTACATTTGCACTGTAGGTATAGTCAGATGATATAAAGAAACTCAGCACAGTTGTTTGTTTTCCCTCCACGCAAATTTCAGTTCTTACCCATCCCCACTGCTATGATAGAGACAATATTGGTTTGGATAACTAGTGGGGACCACATGCACTTTGGTAAAGGTTTTTGCACACAACATGGTAATGCACTGCAGCTACTGTGGCCCCAGGCAGATACTCAGTGGCATGGGCAATGGAACAGTGCCACCTTTCTTGAAGAACACAATCCCCAGCAGTAAATTAAGTCCCCTGAAGTCTGTTGGTATTACTTACTGATGTCATCACCAAAACTGGGGAAAATCCCACTGTAAGATAGAAAGAGTTCAACCACTTTATTCATGATAGGGAGATGCATAAATGAGTCTTCTAGCAGCAGTGAGCCAGATTAACACACCTCAGATGCCAATGGGTTAGGGGTAGGGTGAGGGTAAGGGTAAGGGTTAGAGTTAGGGTGAGTCATAACAATGAAGAAAGCAGTAACTATCCTGTCATACTCTCTTTATGTGGCTCTTTTTTCTTGACACAATATGAACATTATGGTAACAATGAGGAGGGCACAGAGACCCATTTCATAAATCCCGCTGTTCTTTTCCCAGCAGTCTGATGACTGCGCATGGAGGAGGGCATGAGCCCCTGGGGCCAGACAGAGAGGAACACAGCAGCTGTGTTCATTAGCAGGTATGTTCATAACCGCCATCAGCCGAGGCCTGGGGGTTCAGAAACACAGGAATGGATCCTTAACCCGCCCTGATTCTCTGTTGCTCCTCATCAGTGCCAGCAGGGCGGGGCCCTCATGAGCCTGGTCTGATGGAGGCCAAAGTAAGCCTTGCAGAACCAGTGGACCCTAGAAGGCCAGGGCTTGGGTTCAGGACTGGGCTGAGGCAGCTGGGGATTTCAGGGTGCTTGAGCGCCTCTCTTGGCTTTTTATACTCAGCACTTCACTGTTAAACACCATCCTTATTCTGAGATTTGGAAACATTATCCTCTGTTTTCTTCTACTGCTTTAATAGTTTTACTTTTCACTTAAGACTTACTTATTTATTTACTTAATTGGATTTGGCTTAGTGCTAACTATGAACTTTTTCTTTTTTTTTGGTGCCAGGGACTGAACTCACAACCTCACACTTGTCGGGCAGATGCTTATGCCACTGAGCTAAATCCTCAGCCCTAAATGTGAACTTTTATTCAACTGTATTTTTTTAAATGACCACCATTTATCTTGACAATTTATGTATATACTCATTTTTCCCCCTTTGTACCAGGATTAAACTCATTAGGCAAGTGCTTTGAGCTGCTGAGCTAAATCCCCAGCCCTATATACTCATTTTTGACTTGTCATCTGTGACATTTCTCCCAATAGTGGTCAACCTTTTAGCGTTCTGCTTCTGAGTTTGTTCTTTGTTTTATTTTTGTTTTGTTTGTTTCTTTGGCTCTGAGCTAAGTGACATGACTTCTTTTAAGTAGAATATTTTGGAAGCTGAGATGGGGCGCAAGAAGACAGCTACTGGACTCTAAGCAGTGAATCTCGGCATAGGAAGCTACCAGAACCTGCTTGGATCAAGTTAGACCCTGCAGTCTCCCATAACATCACTTAAGAGAAGACTGAATTTCTTCACAACAGAATCTCCTAGAACATGGCCTGTTAATATTCTGAAGGTGAAGTATCTTCTGCATTGGGTTTTTAAAATTGGTTTTTAATGTCATCTGCCTAGTACAGATCTGGGTTTTTATAATATTCACTCTCCCATATTCCTACTGTATTTTCCACTTTTATCTCTGGCTATTGCAAAAAAACCCTTTGGTCAAGGTAAAAATTGACAAAAAGTCTTTTTCTTGTCAACCCCAGGGGACATGGAGAGCCAGATCCTTCAGGAGCTGCTCCTTTGGTTCTGATTTATTTTCTTGGCAAGATGAATGTGATTAGCCTTCAAACTTACCTAGTCACACTCACATATCGGGAGCTGTGTGGGTTTATTGGACCTAAAGCATTCTTCTACATTTTATAATTTTGACTAATTCCATATAGGAATTAGTTTCCAGTAGGTTTCCGTGCTTCTGGGACCTCAGGAAGACAACTGGTGATACAGTCAATGGAATCTTCCTAGTTTAGGGAATGAGAGAGCGCTTTCTGGAAGCATTTGAAAAAAACAGATACATTTTTCTATACAGAATATTTTACCCCTGTTTATTTAGGAAACTAACCTGTTGAAGTTAAAAGGAAGAACATGAGATCAAGCTGGAAAAGTTTGCTATCTTTTTATAAAAAGGAAGCACCATAAATTAACTTTTGTTCCTGTATCCTAATAATTATAACTCAGGTTCCAGGAATAACAATTATTTCTTACCTCATAATTTTCAGCTGAGAGTGTGTGTTCATGATTAAACAAGGGATCAAAGTAGCATAAAATAGGACTATTATATTTTACTCTGAAAACTTTCAAACCTTTAAAAAATACTCCTCATGTGCTTTGAGGAATAGATTTCTTCTGTCATCTACATTGGGTTACTAATGATTCAAAACTGGTTTAATTTTACCATCAAATGTGACATTCGCACTACAAGTGCCTGATTTGGCAAGAATGCCCAGGTCAGCAGACAAAAACTCTCATTATGTGGGAAAGAAGTTTTGGGTATAGTAAATATAAAAGAATGTGAATTTAGTCTGTCAAGTGATTGAAGAAAATTCAGAGGAAAAGTCACATAAGGTAAGAATCAGATAAAACCACAGAAGTATAGATTTTATTCATTTGCTGGGTCCCTTGATTTTCTAAATTTACAAATGAAGGGTAGTGGATCCGTCTGAAGTTCTATATGGCGTGTTAGTATTACATATTTAGATAGTACTTTTAAAAAAAAATAGGCTGAAGGTAAATGAAAGTGTGTGAAATAGATTTCCTATTTCCTAAATGATTGATAAACAACTCTCAATTAGAGGTTTTTTTCCCCCCCAGTTCTGAAGCCCAGGATATCACACATGCCAAGAATATACTCTACCACTGAGCTGTAACTCTGGTCTCAATGAAAAGCTTTGGACATTTACTATTTACTTGATTTTACTAAAACTATGAATGAATATGATTCCATTAGTTGATGTTGGACTATAGCCTTTCTGCCTTCAGAATACTCCTTTTCTGCTATAGAATTATTGGACTCACTGTTTTCTAGACATTCCACCCAAAACACATACTAACTTACAAAATGTTAAATTCCAAGGCCGCTAAGACTGAACTGAAATTGAAGTTGATGTGCATCTTGCTACATACTGGAAGGAGACTGACTAAAATGTCAGGATTACTTATGATTGCTTATGACTTACTGACTTTTTATGTACACTCCATCTCGTTTCTGCCAATAAGCAATAATTAAGCTAAGAGCTTAATAAAGACTTCAGCTTATTGATGTTTATAAATCTCTGGCAAATTAATAGGAATTTGCTGAACTCTTCTTGAGACCAAACATATGTTCAACCTCTGAAGAAGCATAGAACCTAATAGCTTTGAGATAGACAATTCTTTTTAAGGAAACAAGGGACAACGTTGATAACCATTGTTGATAAACTTGTACTCTGTTCTACACCATGTGCTATGTCTATCCTTGGTATTGACTGACAGCTTTGTTTTGCCATATTTGACTGTATTCTTCCCCCCCCCCAAAGAAAGTAATAAGCACTAAGGAGTAATAAAATCCAAGATGTGTAAATTTTGTTGTAAAAAAGAGAGGGAAAAAAAAAAAAGAAAAAGAGCTCTAATGGATATAACAGCAAGTGTGTTTGGGGGTGTTAAATAGCTGACTATATCAATGTTTTTGGAACATTGAACACAGCTGTTTGCAGTCTCCCTGTTTGAATGTCCACCTTGTGTTCTTTGATACTGTGATTTGAGGAACTATTTTCAAGAAGATAGTGTGTAATCTACTAGCAGGTGATTTCTTACTGTTATGTTTTTTTGTTTTGTTTTGTTTTGTTTTGTTTTTGTAGTTCTGTATTGCGTGTACCCTTACGCCGCTTTGGTTTGTTTTGTGTTTTTCTCTTTTTCCTCTTAAAAAAAAAAAAAAAAAAAAAGAACCTAATAGCTTATATTTTATGTTTTAATCTCATGGGGGAGGGTGTTTTTTCTTGATTTCTGATGCTTATTATTTGTTTTTTCTGACTTTTTTTTTACTTAATTATATTCTTATTGTATTTGAATTTCATCTTCAATAAGTTTACAAGATGATTTTTATGTTTTAATATTCCTTTGTCCTAGGACAGATCAAATTTTTTATTTGAATGGTTCTTAGAGAGTTGAAATTTGATGTCAATAGATGCCTATATTCTCATTCCATAGTTTCATATTATGAAATTAGAGTGACACTGTACTCTTTCTAAACAGTTTCCTGTGACTGGATCTTATAAAATGACGTGATCAGTATTATGTAATCTGTAAACTGCAAGTAATGCAAGGGTGAAAATCAATTGTGTACAAATTTCAGTAGGACTGAGAAGAATAGCATTCTTTTTATGTGTATGATATATAACTTCTTACTTTGGAAGGTTATAGAATTATAAATAGAACTGATTTACTTTTGGACGGTGTTCACTTAAGACACATTTAAGGAGTATAATTCTCTTTTCACGAAAGCTGGAATACATTATAAAAAATGATTGCACTTATTTTTAGTCCAGTTTTAGTTCTCATGTAATTATATTCTCAACATGATTTTTTTGAACAATCCAAATTCTTCTGAGGACAATGTATGGAAAGCTTATTTATTTACATATTTACTGAATATTTACTGTAGCTCTGCTATACCAGTGCTAAATGCTAGGAATTAAGAATGAATTAAGGTACATTTCCTTTTGTGGACTAATTTGCAGGCTACAGTCAAATATGTAAACAAGTAGTTATAATGTTAAATAATTATTTCTATATGTACATTCAAGTAACTTTCAAGAAACAAAAAAAGGAGTCCTTTAGTCTGTCTGGGTAGCATTTTGGCTGATGCCTGAAATAGAAAAGTTTCCCAAATGTAAAAGTGGAGAAAGGCCATCAAGTGTGAAGGAAGAATGCGCGAGGACTTAGTGCATTCTTTTTTAAGAAGTAGTTTTATTCCAGATAGGAGCTGGATTGGGTGATTTGGCTTATAGGTACTGCCACACGAGATTTATTACTTCATGGATTACATTTACCTCCGAATCTGCAGCATCTTTTTTCAAATGCACAGAGTCTGCCCCTGAAAAATTATCTTACGGATGAACACAGAATGGATATGTCTGTTATTGGCTAGCACTTAAAGACTAAGGTAGGTAGGTAGATAGATTCTCCAAAGGCCCCCAGGAAAATCACTCATCCTCACATGGGAAAGTGTGAATTGGGAGGGTGGGGACAGGCAGATTGAAAGAAAGCATGTAGGTTACTATGGCAGAAATCTAATGGGAAGATGAGGCCAAGTGAAAAGATGTAGACGACGATGAACATTAAAAAAAATTGAGGTGTGGTTTCTATTTTCATTAAGGTAAAAGAGAACATTCAAGGTGAAATGTGAAGGAAGAGTCAAGTGAGGCAAGCCTGGAAGCTGAGCTCTTTTCGGAGCTCAGAGCATCTTCAGAAAGAAATGATTTGTATGGACTCAGGGGTTATAGAGCTGTTTAAGAGGTAAAATTGGTCGGATAAGAAAAATAAGATAAAAGAAAAAATCTAAAATGACTCTTAAATTTGTGGTTTGAGAAATTGATTGGCATTTATTGTGATAGGTCATATAAAATATAATTAAGATGTCAAATTCAGTTTGTTGCACACCAAGTTAAAAATGCTTGGAGGGAATCCAAATATAGATGTTTATTGGAGGTTAGATAATGGATCTAGAGGTCAGGAAAGGGATGTCCGTTAGTGATAGAGATTTAGGGTGATTAGCAATTTAATTATAGTTAAAGCCAAAGGCAAGGATTAAGTAGGTTGGGAGAGTTTACAGAATGTGAAATGAAGCCCCTGCGTCTTTATCCCATGAGCCAGACATAGGGTACGGTAGTGAATACAGGGTATAGTAGTAAGCGTAACTTTCCTTTCCAGCCCATGTGGCACTATTTTTCTATCTTTCCTGTAATATAGTCAGGCAATTTAAACTTGAAGGAAATCTCAGTTTTAACAAAACAATCTTACTGTTTCATTCAGTCCGTGTCAGTGTAAACTAGAGGCAAAGTTTAAACTATACACATTAGGAGATGACTAATCCTGACCAAAAAAAAGTTCAGTTATAAATAACTCAATTAAGACCCCAAATAAGTGCTTATTTATAACTTTCCTAGGAAGTATTGGTAGCATCAATTCATTGTTTTAAGCTTAGTTGATTGTCTAAGACCTTAATTGTAAAGCAATTGTAAATAGATTCTCAATGTCAGCGATATATGCCTTATAAGTAGGTGTTAAATATTTGTCCTTGGGCAGCAAATAAATAAAAAAGAAAGAAAGAAAATAAACCCTAAATAGTACTATCGTAGTCCTCCATAGCACAATCCTTATCTGACAAAAATTTATTCTATAGTATTTATTTTCCTGTTAGAATTTCAATTAAATTAGGAAATTCTCATTAGTCAAAAATGAAAAAAAAAAAAAAAAAAAGCTGAGAATACTGTTCTAAGAACATTTAAGATAATTTGTAGAAGAAATTAAGTTTAGATA